TATAGAATTTACCCGCATAATAGTTTAGGTATGTAAGGTCAAACATAAATAGATCACGGGATCAGAGATGGTATCGGTCTAACGTTACATAGTAAGTAGGTACTTACATAGCACGCAAGTTTCTTTTTCTGTGTACGAAAGAGTAATATCCCATAAAGTCGGTTTTTATAAACCTCACCTGAATTACTACTAATACTACTCATAAAAACAGCTGTTCATGCGATATTTTGCCAAAATCCAAAATAAAATTAGTTTATTTAAGTATATGTATCATATAATATAATACCTTGTAGGTAAATTCCACGATTATATTATTTAATAAAACATTTTTTTTTATATTCCGAAGACTTGTTAATTTAACGAGCCTTAGCCTTATGAATTGACAAAATTTTCCTTCAGTATTAAAAAATATATAATAAACGATACACGTTATGGACAAACAAACATAGGGTTTAAAAGGATAATGTAAGGAGTCCAACTTGCAATAGGCTTCTCGTATCTGATTTCATGACTGAAAAGTACAAAGCACAGACTATAACAACCTTTGACATGGTGAAGAAATTTCGCATAACGAAAATGTAAATGGTGTCTGGTGTTAAAGTTATTACGTTTCTAACTTCATGTGGCGCCAAAAATAATTGACGCCAAATTATACTTTAAAATTTTTACGAAACAATGACAGCTGTGAAGTAATAAAAATGTACCTATTATTGTTATCACTAGTAATTTAATGTCATACTTAACGTTGGATTTTTTTAAAATTTATTGTTAAAGTTTCGAGCTAATTAAAAATTTGATTAAATAATTAGTCATGCATCCATAAGGATTGTTATAAAACAATACTGTGCCTATGATCTTTATACAATTCTAATGTATTATAATTCTGGTATTTATAGGAAATAAATGTGGAATAAAAAGTTGTCATACATAAAAAATGCAGCGCCGGCACGTAGCAGGGACATCAGAACTTAAAAATTGTTAGTACCTACTGTTAATACACATAAAGCGCTGAGCATTAAACGTTGGTCTAGCAATAAAACGAATGTGTTAACGCCGTAAAATGCTGCAATTAAGGATGTTGTAAACGCAAATTACCGTTTACTATAGATGACAAGTGGACTGAGATAATCATAATCATTATAGCCTATCAACACAGTGTAACAAAAGTACGTATTTATATGTCCCATGTATTTGCCAATATTAAGTGTGGTTGTGATATGACATTCTCACCCTTAAACTGTAAAGAACATAAATAGATGAGTGTTTTAAATATACATAATTTTCCCCTGAAATTCAAAGAAACGAAAAGGTCAAAGAGCTACAGCTGTTTGCCTCACAATTTAATGACGCAATGCAGCATAAAAAATACAGTAATATCACTATTTCCACTTTGTTTTACATCATACGTTTAACAGCTGATCCGAAATAAAACATTCCCAATGTGTATTGAGAATTGTGTCATTTGAATTCATAACATTATGTGTAATTTAGAATCCAATAAGCTGAAGTACAATTTTTTTTATAAAACAAACGGGCAGGAGACTCACCTGATGTTAAGAGATACCACTGCCCATGGACACGAGTGCGTTGCTGGCCTTTTAAGAATTGGTTAGCGCAGATTTGCCCCCCTTTTCCAGAATATAAAGGACACGTGTGGTACCACCATGGGGTAATCTCTGTTCGAACTGCATTTTTTAAAATCAAAATTTAAATAATCTATTTTAATAGTATTAAGACTATGGTACAATAATTCAAATTAATAAGTTAGAATAGAATCTTAACATAAGCTGTAGGTTTTAGACAAAGTATCTTTATAGTTAGCTAGCTGGTAATCGCAAGTTTGTCTATAGAGAAAAGAAATAACAGCCTATGTTTTCTATTCAAGGGATCTTAAAAGATAACTAAATTACGCTGATAACTTACAACATTGTCAAATTGATCAAAATATTATAGTATTTATGTTGAATTTATAAAATAATTATATAGTTTGAAGGTTTTTATAAAATATAACGTTTACTTTGTGTTTTTACAAAAAAAATATATAATAGAATATGAAATTGCACCTATTGTCTATTAAATGAAAAGCATTCATTAACACGTCTTTCAAATTGATTATTGAATTGTATTTAATTGACGTCTTTCACGAAGTCATAAATATTTTACTAGCTTCGTTATGCGGTCGAACTCGCAAAATAACTTAATATGGTATAATCGTCTACATTTTGTAGATGAATTATTAGTTCGTTTTTTAAATGTTAGTGACATTTGTTCTTTATCGACTAAGTAAGGTTTACATCTACAAAATTATTGCAAGCAATTCAAATTCGTACTAAGTTTGCAAACAGCGAAGAACTTCAGCCAGTGTAATTAAATTATATCCTAATGTAATCTTGAAAATGTCAATTTCATATTAAATAAAAGTTATGTTTATGTATCTATCCACTATACGTGTGTGTTATTGAAATACTTCGGAATATAAGATGTGTTGCATAGCATCGTGGTTGGCGTGTCATGTAGTTTACACACAAGAACAATAGATATTTATAATCAGTTTGTCTCGGGCACATTAGGTTGTCTATTGGGGTATACGATGTATAGATTTTTACATCGATACAAAGATTAAAGCGCATTTATATAACAGTATACTAATATGATAATAGCTGAAGAGTTTATTTGATAATTATAAGGACCTATAACCCGATCGAATCAAAATTTTCATAAGTTTAAGTTTTCAGCTGTTGTTTGAACTGTTTATATAAAAAAATTTATCGAGAACCACTTAGCTTTAAATCGAGTCTACGATTATATATATGTACTATTACGAGTATATAAAGCATATGCATATGCACTTTTACGTATAGTAATGGTATATAGTAGTAATAATAAGTCATATAATTAACGACAAAGGTCTAAGAAACAAGACTAATTTAACCGGAATTCAGTACGACGCATTATATCACAAATTTCAAGTGTTAGTTTTTTGAAATTGTTTTCCATAATTCTTCAAAAACTTATTAAAAAAAATAGGAACAATCTAAGATAGTAATTACGTAAGTATATAAAAGCTATAAATTAGGTATTTTATTTGCTACAAATGCTTTATTTATTCAGTTGCGAAGCGCATTAACAATTCTATAGATAATTAACAATGACAATCTAAATGCTAATATAAATGATAATAAAAATTACTTTTATATTTTTAATCATTGAAAATGTAAAAATGTTTCGCTTTATTACACATTTTCTGTGCATAAAGTTTAAAACTATGCTATAACTAAAAACTGTAAAATCAATTTTGCTACAAATAAAATTATATAAAACTAAGTAATTGCTATAACTAACTAACTGTATACTGAATCATTTCAACTGGGGCAAATGTAAAAGTTACGTAAAACTTGGAAATTTGATTTAATATTACGTACGTACTCTGAGTAATAATGTTTACCATTTGTTGGTAAGCGTAGAAGGTATGCGAATAACAAGTATTTAACGCAAACAAATTGTTCTGATCATTTTCATTCTTAGTTTGGTAGTCCATTCTATTATAATGATTGTAATGTAATTTTAATTGATGAATTAACTAAAATATATTTATTACGGGTATAATTCATTCTTAATACTCGGGCATTAGTGGTTTGTCACAATTAAATTATAATTAGTTTTCTGAATCTGTATAGAAACATGCTCTTTTAAACATAACTAATTTTGATTTAAGTTCAACAAATAAATGGTAATTTATTATTTACCTAATGTTTTTGCGTTCTGTTAGGCGGATACCTTGCGTGCAAATAAATATTTTTTCTTTTACATCACTACTTGTTACGATTAATAAAATACTCGGGAGACAAGCTTGAGTGCCAACAAATTTTATCATCCGTTCAATCTTCTTGGGATTTTACAAGAGTTACTTTGGCTGGGATGTACCTACTGAGGATAAGGCTCAACTTCAACTAAAGTCTAAACATTAAATTCAAATGCTCCGAGTTCAGCATGACAATTTGTTTAACTGGAAAACGGTATCAAATTAACACCTTCAGGTTACCGATAAGCTAACACACTTGTCTATAAGTTCAATAACCTGGGTCTATTTAGAAACTTACTTATTTCTTACTTTTAACTAGCTCTATTATCACTATTTTTCATCTTTTATAGTTGTTTTTAAGTATAATATTGAGATTAGTCATTGCGTTTAGGTTTTTTCTCATACATACATTGGTTACTAGTTAATTTTTTGTTATCGTATGGTGTAAAGCATTTAATTTTGTAGACGATAATGGCGTGCCAGCTAATTAAATAGCTGGTATGGCATCAAGGTCGTACTTACTTATGATTGAAAAATATTCAATCTACGGATACAATGTAGATAGACACTTGAACTTTTTATTGCTGACAACATTTTCAAGTTTGTCACGTCAAGTCAAAGTTCTCCTAGAAAATTTGTTTGGAAATAACGCAAAATTTGTTTAATTACCCATGTATAAAGATTATTTAACTGTACGTTATATATGAATTTAATTATAGGTGCAAATTTATTATGTAAATGAAACCGTGGTACTTTACATTTTACTTTTAAGGTAAATTACTTAATCATTTTATAATATCACGCAATTGCAAAAGAATCGGCATCGAATGTGCATGGTTTTTTGTCGAATGTGCCAGTATATTGAGTTAAATTATCGTTTGTATTGCCTTTAAATATACTTTATTTCTGTCTACATACAACTACTCTTAACAGTTTGTCTAAAATAATCGGAACAGAATCGTGTATTTCTCATTTTATGTATATTTTTAATTGATAATTTTTCAGTAGCTGTGCTGTGCCGATGAGATATATCTGTTATGACGCCACGAAGCTAGGCACTCCGAATTATACGTAGTGTGCGTTGCCAACTGGTGAAACATTTCATAAAATATGCGAAACTATCTTGATGTTGTTTTAGATGTCATCGCGGTAGTATGGCCAGCAAAACAGGGTTCGGCGGGGTGCGCTGAGCGGGCGCATGTGGTCGCGGACGGCGCGGCTGCTGCGGCGGTTAGCGCTGCTCGCGCCGTTTGTGTTAACGGCGCTGGCACTGCTGCTGCTGCCGCGCCCCCCGCCCTATCGCGCCTCGCGGCTGCCCTCACCACCACCAACTGCGCAGCCCCGGGACGATGTATACATACATGTAATTAATTTACTTTTATTGGCACATCTCAAAATCATAGATGCAGATTTCTTAGCCTTACTTTTACAGTTATCTAACCGAATTAAGATTATACGCTGAATTAGAACTCAGCTTAGAAGAACAAAGATTGTCACTGCTTTATTCAAAGCGACAAGCTTGAAAGTTTTTATTGAATATCCGATATATTATTTTATTCCGATTACCTATTTTACTTGGAAATTGGCGGTAAAAATTGTGGTATACAAATAAGCCTAGAGGCAGTAAATAATACTAAACAATATACCTTATAATATAATATGTATTATATAAAATAATATACCTTTACCCAATTTAAGAGTAAAACAGGTTCAATCTCACAAAATATTGAGTTTGTTAATACATGGATTGGCATTTTTATTAGAATTCGATATCAATTTTCAAAGTACCTATTGTGTATTGTATAGTTCTATTTATTTTAATCTGATAAAATTTCTGGCGATAAGATATGTATTTCCATAAATCAGTAATAACTCAAATACCCTAAAATATGTATCAATACCATAAATGAAAATGAATTAAATGTATCGAAGCATTAAACTCACCGACGTCACCAGCGTCAGTCATTGTAATGTTCACGCATCATGACCAGGTCCTTTTAATTTAAAAGCGTGACGTCCTTTTAGAACTCCATAACGGAAAGCGAAGAAGTGAACAATATTAGAGATGATACTTCAATGCGACCTTGGTACATGACAGGGGGGGAGAGACGACCAAGGAGTCATGATAAGCAGGCCAGGGTTTTTCCGGAAGACCTACCTGGAGAAGACAGGTATTATAAAATATATTTTAAATCCCATTCTAGGTTTGTGTGACGTTCCAGGGATAATCGGTAATGTACCCGGATTTCCCTGCAAACTATAAACTTATTAGATGACTATCACGTTGAACGCCATGGGGGTCACCGGTGACCTCATCATTCCTCTATCATAGCGCCATGGGGGTCACCGGTGGCCTCAAGCTAAAGACATATTCAAACCGTTTTTTCTCGCCGTCTGCCATACCCACTGTTGATTTTAAAGTACTATGTGACCGGCACTGCGCCGTAGAACAATACTTCGCATTGGGACAAATGTACCTAGATAGTACTTTGAAAAAATCGAAAGATTTTAAAAAAGAAGCAAAAATAAAACTTCGTTCCAAAAATGTTGGATATTTAACTCAATTCAGTCTTTATTTTTTAAACAAAAATTAGCAGAAAGTATGGTGTGTTGTGTTGTGTACCAATATTACTGAAAAATAAAATTTATCTTTAGAAAAACTAGGAAATTGTAAAGTGTAAAAAAGTTCGGAAAATCCACAAGTGCACGCCTTAGAACAACCCAACCCTTAGAAATATTAATATTTAGCCTTAATTTTGTCAAATAATACAGTAAAAGTTGATGAGAAAAGATGTCAGAAAGAAAAACAATAACAAAACATGCATACAGGGTTCACAATTATGTCAACCTAAGCCCAAACCGTTTTACGGTCATTTTACGAATATTACGATTATTTGGTCACTCATATCTACAGACCCTTCGGATTTATTATGATCCAATATGATCTTCGGCTTCCGAATCTGTTTGTCTTTTTACTCTACCACAGCAAATTTGTCGAAAGCAAAAGCACGTCCCTCTTATCCTTCCATTTTAACGCCGTTACTCCGTCTTCATTCTCCACAGCCATTATTTTACCTTTCTACAGCTCTGAATTCTAGAACGGCCTAACCCTCTTGTTTTTTCGCAAAGTGCCAATTAAATGGGTTTGTTTCTCCAATAACCTAGTTCTAAGCTTGTATACCAGTTGTCAGTTGCAAGTAAGTATAACCTAACGTCTTTTTATTTTCGGTATTAGCATCTGTTCGCTATCTGATTCTGAGTGGCAATCATTGTTTCTCAAAGGGTTTGTTGTAAAATAATATGCTAACGCGTTGATTTGTTGCAATTCATTCTGTGTAAATTTTAATTCCTCCATAGCTAAGCCAATACCTAAGGATCTCGTACATTATTAACGCAACCTAAGTTAAGTTCGTTATGTAGCGAACACAAATTTAGTAGAAAACTAATAGAAAGAGCAAAGCAGAGGCAATCGTCGCAAGCGCGAGCGCACTAACACTGTCGAAGTGAATAGCGGGTGGCCGGCGGGGTGGGTGGCACGGCGCAGGGTAACGGAAAATGTCTTTTCTGTATTTGTGCGCCATGGGGTGCACCGGTGACCTCAGTTATATATTTGGCTGTAACTATGTAACCCATGGGCAGAATTTAATAAAACTAATTTTCTATACATATATTATCATAATAAACAAATTACAGCAATAAAGTTTTTTACGATTTTTAATTTTTTCTATTGGCGTTTAACGTGCTATATATATTTAACTGACAAATATTTGTAGATTATTTATTAATTTTAATTTGGTATATGCAATTCATTTATGTTGTTTCTTATTTTTGTGTTTTATAACGTGCGAATCAATAACATATAAATGTTTTAAAAAACTAGAGTTAAAATTTTATAATTAATTTTCATATTTTTTGTGTACCTATTTGTAACATTAAGTAATAGGCATGACTTCATTATAACAATGTAAGACGCTCAAAACAGAGCAAGCCTATTGTTTGCACGATGGGCTAACCTTGGAAGGATGACGGTATTAATATTTAAAACAAATGAATTTAGACTGTCTTTCGACCTTCATATGAAATTTCTCTTTTACATCTAAGTTGATGAATACGTATTTAATAAAACATACATTTATAAGATAAATAACAATGTTTTTGAAAATAAAAACTACTTTAACGACAGTGAAATCTCAAATCAATGTTATGCTTTGTGATTAACGGGAGGTTTTAAAAACTAACGCATATAAAAATGCTTATCCGACTGTATAACAAGCGTACGTGTACGATTACCTGAATTCGTAATTATTTTGCACGTTATTGCGTCTATAAAAATTTATATCGTTTTATTGAGTGCGGCGTAAAAGAAAAACATGGTTTCCAGAAATCTAACAGTCTAGGAATAAAAATCGCACACATTTTTTCGCTACAACCTAGTTTTTACTAAAACCATAATAGATTAAAACAATTATTACCCTGAATCGAAAAATACGCGTTATATTAAATCAACTACATAAATTTCTTCAAAAGAAAATACACCGTAAAATAACGTGTTTAATTGTCACAATTTTATTACACATACATGTCTTACGTACTTCATGGCCTACCTGATTAACCTGGATTCCGCTTTGGTCGAATTGATAGCATATTTTCTTTTAAACGTGCAATGCCTGCATAATAAAATACTATATTATATAACATATCTTTTAGGATCGTCGAACAGCTTATGTATACATTGCCAAAAGACGAAGAAGTTCCTATGAAGAAGATATTGCTAGCTAACGGTTTAGGTACATGGGGTGTTTCGGGAGGTCGAACGGAATTCATCAGGAACAAATGCCCAGTGGACAGATGCACCCTAACCGCAGACTCCAGGGAAGCAGCTTCCGCGGATGCCATCTTATTTAAGGATCATCACACGCCGTATAATATCAAGCGTCCATCTCATCAAGTAAGATTTTCGTTTACTTAGGCCTGTGAGATAAAGAATAGTGGTGGTTTTTTCGTCTCTAGTTTTTTTGCATGCTTCTAAGAAACGTTAAGCTGTAAAGTATAGCTAACATATTAATGTTTAAGTTATGCAGATTGTGTGTAATTTGTGTGTAAAAATAACATACATAAATCTCATCATTACTAAATATATCAATTAATCTTGATTTGTTGCCTAAGAACCATGATATAGGAAGATTTATAACCAAATAATATCCATTAATCTGTTCAACTTAATTTAATCTATCTATTGTTCGAGGACGAGTACTGATTTAAAAAAAATAAGATTATATTATTATCAAACAATTATCATCATTAGTATTATAAATTGATCCTTATCATAAGATATAAATATTATATCGTACTATCTTATTATAGTTTTATCACTATTTGTAACAGTTTGATAACGTTTTAACTTTGAACTGCAATGCAACGTATTGATTCCAAACTTTTAAAAAAAATATACGTATTATGTCACGGTTACAGTCAACTACTTCGTTTAACGACATGACCGAAAACATAGATACTACATACATATATATACAGACTGTTAATTTACAATGGTATATCAGTAAACTATACTTTACCATCCACCAGCATAATTAGCTAGACCGAAAAATATGTCTAACAATTATTTGGACAAAAATCTAAAGGGATTTTGTTTTTTTCAGCTAAGTTGGAGTTGTTTTCATATCTAATCTAATATTTTACAATTTCCTCAATCTGCTACTAAATATTGATACTTCATAACATATTAAAAAATGCTCTTTATTCTTCAGGGTAACAGGGCTTTAATTTTTCGTTCCGCTGGATTCTAGATACAACTATATCCTTTTTTTTTCTCGTCAATATATTATTAGGTCCTTTTAATCAATTACTTCATGTTTTCAGATATGGATTTTATACTACCTAGAATGTCCCTACCACACCGCGTCACTACGGCCAACGTCTATCGATGTATTTAATTGGACAGCTACCTACCGGCGAGATTCTGACATCGTAGCGCCCTATGAAAAGTGGGTCTACCATGACCCTATTGTCACCGAGAAAGAATTAGAGCGGAATTACGCGGCTAACAAGACTAAAAAGGTTAGCTATCACAAGATTTATAAATGGTCTCATGAGGGTGGGTTTAATCTATATTAGGAACAATTATGCTGTGTATATAACTTACGCTTTTGATAAATTATTTTATCATATTTTTGTATGGTTTGATTTGAATGGTTTGTTGTTTTTAAAAATATGTTTCACGTAATCATATTAAATGAGTTTTCTGAAGTTGTAAAGTAAACGTGGCGTTTGTCACAGGTGGCGTGGTTTGTTTCAAACTGCCACGCACGCAACCGTCGGCTGCAGTACGCAAGGCAACTCTCTAAATACATTCCAGTGGATATATATGGAGCTTGTGGGCCTCATCATTGCCCCCGAACAGACCCAAATTGTCTGGAGATGTTGGATAAAGAGTATAAATTCTACCTCGCCTTTGAGAACTCCAATTGTCAGGACTACGTCACCGAAAAATTCTTTGTGAACGGATTGCAGTAAGTTAACTATAAAACAATATTTTTTAATGATGATGGAGTCGTTATCGTTTAAACCAGAGTTCCTCAAACTTTTTTGTGTCGTAGACCCCTTGCCATGTTTTTCCGTGTTGGGTAGACCCCCTACTTACCTGATATTGATTTCCTGTAAATTTCTAACTGTAGTGAAGTTTAGTGTTAAAAACACATGTTAATTTATACATTTATTAATTGAATTTAAATTAAAACTACTCAAAATAAAATGTTGTATCTGTTATGTAAAATATACGAAGCATTAAATAAACATAAAATAAAATAACATAAGCAATGAGTCAATATTTTTAGTGAGAAGGATGAACCTGATGCTTTAATAATAAATTATTATCAACATTTGGCGTCAATTTTGTAAGGGTTAATTTTTTTCTTCCCCATTTTCATTTCATGGATCCCAAATTTTTTTTCGCTGACGTAGACCCCTTGCAGGTTGTCATAGACCCCTAGGGGTCGATATAGACCACTTTGGGAATCACTGGTTTAAACAATTATAATATATTTCAAATAAAGTTAATGTTGATGGTATAGACAAAGCTTTGCAAAAAAAAAATTACTTTGAGTATTTTTTCCGCTTTAAACTTTTACTATAATTCACTGTAAAAGGAAGGAAAAGGTATCGAAGAAAATAATCCCCACATAAATGTAATCTAAACAAACAGTATTGTTAGCCAAAACATGTTGTTAATTCATGTCTGTATATTTTACTAATGGCCTCTTAACACACGCTGTGTTATTCCAGTATATACTTAACTCTGATAAAAATAGTTCCATTGGTCTTTCATTCCAATAAAATTCCATAGGAAAGCTAAAGAAATTAAGTCAGTTGGCAGAATAATATACATAAATCTGGGCCGGATCTTTATAGTTATGTCTTTATTAGGACAACGTGCAAGTATGATTAATTATTGATTGAACAGTTTAAAACAATATAAAAAGAGTTCATTACCAAAACTTTAACTGAATATATATTTTTTGGAGCTATATTTATATGTAAGTTGCAGCGTGTGCGATCGGCTTTACTCTAGTACAGTGTATTTAAATTTGCAGACATGACGTGCTTCCAATAGTTATGGGTGCTCGGCCCGATGAATACGCAGCAATAGCGCCGCACAACTCATACGTACATGTGGAAGAGTTTGCCAACCCAGAAGAGTTGGCAACGTATCTACGCCGACTCGACGAGGATGATACGCTTTACAACTCCTACTTTAAGTGGAAGGTAAATTTGTATGACGACATTTGTTAGCACCTATTACCTCTTATGAGCCCTTTAAATTAATATAGTTCTGCTTTCAGGGCACTGGTGAATTCATAAACACATACTTCTTTTGTCGTGTGTGCGCAATGGTTCACGCTAACGCGCGAAGGCAGCGAAACGCCCATTACACAGACGTTCAAGCGTGGTGGCGAGACGCAACTTGCACGCGCGGCGATTGGCGGTCGACCGTGCGCGACTCGCGCGATAAAGTCTAGGTTGAAACTACCCTCAAATTGAAAATAATGCTACCTACTTAAATACGCCTTCTCCACATACACACATCTTTCATAGCGCCGGCGCATTTTAATATCCCAGTTAAGACTGACATATATTTCGTGGGGAAAATAGTAGAGTCGTTGATGAATGTGCTTCGCTTGTGTCATATGTATACGGTGGTTCTATGATATGGAAGACCTAATTTTCTTTGATAAAGATGGTGTTTCCCTGAGGCATTATAGTTATTCCCAAAGTGAATGTGTAGTAGGATCCTCGTCCATTAACTTAGAAATATATGAAGTAAATCTAATTCAAATTATTTTGAAGTGCAATTTAAGAATTAGTGATCAATGTTGATGTGCGCTTGTATGTCTGAATATAATATAGTAAACATTTTACTTAACAAATTATAAATGTGAAAGGTTCTAATGAACGTACAAAATGGTTCCAGACCATACTACAATATAGTAAATTTAAAATTATATTATGTTATTAATACCTATATATTGAATACATCACTGTTAATTAATATTAATTGTGTAAGGTTATATTATTAAAATTTAAATTATAGTAGGTACTTCAAAAAGGCAACCTCTTTTGTTACTTCTTTATTTTTTATAATTTTTATGAATATAGTTGTTTGAATGGCTTTGTTAGTTAATATGAAAAATATCATAAAATTGATTTAATTTTAATTTACCATGACTACACAGGAGATATTTATTGTTTTTTGTTTGATAATGTCTACTGTAGTAATTTTTCATGTCTGCTCACAAATTCAATAATAAATACCAAGAACCTATCTTATTACAAATTTACAGTGAAATGCTTCGCTTTATATATCAAATTAATGCCAAAGCATTAATTACTATCTTTACAAATGTTTTAAAGTTTGGTACTTTTTTTATATACATACTAGCTGATCCGGCAAACGTCGTTTTGCCATGTACTCGTATATCATTTATAATAAAAAATAGGGGTTGGTGATAGAAGGGCAAAAACTTAGGGTTGTATGTATTTTTGAATATCGTATCATAAAAAAATAAAAAAAAAATTTTTGTCAAAAAAATGAAAAAAAAAAATTGAGGGGTGGACCACCCTTATTATTTAGGGGTGTGAAAAATAGATGTTAGCCGATTCTCAGACCTACCCAATATGCTTACCAAATTTCAGAGGAATCGGTCAAGCCGTTTCGGAGGAGTATGCAGACTAACATTGTGACACGAGAATTTTATATATAAGATATAAGTTTGTATATTTTTGTTTACATTTTTATTATTAATAAAATACCTGGTTTGAAGCCCACAGATAGTTATCCATTTTGAGAATCACAAATAATAAGCATGCATTATTATTGAAATCGCCTTTAAAGGCAAACAATGATAAAATTTTAATGACAAAAGTTCATAGGAAAACAAATGAGGCTACCAACTATTTAATAACATTCCATGTAATTACTATGTGTAAAATTCTTGTTTAAGTTTGGCTCTACGATTTTTTCATAAACTTTAGACTGTACTTATAAAAGCTGACAGGTATTTCTTAGTTAATTATTTGAAATAAGGAATAATTTTACTTACTTGTACCTAGCTAACATTGTAATCGTAATATCTTTTATATCGATGTCCTCAAACATTCCTTGAGTTAATTTATACTTTAAAGAAATTATTAAGCTCAATTTGTCTAGTCTTGGCGCCAATTTAAATTGAGCACAAAATTTTGTAGAAATTCATTTTAATATTTAAGTTTAGCACAATTTACATGATACAATTTTATATCATTTGCATTTTTGTAACTTATGTACTTATTTATAGTGTAACTTTATAGAAAGGTTATTAATAATGTTCCTTGTTTTATTATATTAAGTGTAAATTATTCTAGATGTAAAATAAACAATTAAAGCAATTTTTATAAATTTATTTTTATTTTTCAAGTCTAAAAACATATTTAATTTAAAACTTAGTATATTTAAGAAATATCAATTTCATCATGGAAAATTTCAATATTATAACATGTTGTACACTATTCAGATTACTTGATTTTTTCTAGCTCACCACCTTTAATTTGTACTTTCAGTTAGTACCAAAGACAATTAATTACTTTGTCTTATCGTATAGAAAAACCATTGCTATTGATGTCACAAGATGTATCAAAATAAAAAATATTTACCTAATAATTTGAAATGTTTCGAAAACCGCCGCTAGATTTTGCTTTAAAAATCCTTTCAACGCCCAGCCCTGCGATTCTGTAACTCACTTTTCGAACTCACACAGCGGTTTTCGCATCGGCGGTCGCTCTGAAATAAGTCGTGAAGCAGTCATATTATGATTTGGCATTCTGAAAAGGTGGGAGCTTGTAGTTTATTGCTTATCAGAATGCCAAATCATAAAATGACTGCTTCACGACTGATTTGAGAGCGACCGCCGATGCGAAAACCGCTGTGTGAGTTCGAAAAGTGAGTTACAGAATCGCAGGGCTGATGCTCAGGCGAGTTAGCAAATCTTTGAATAGCGACTACAACATGCAAGTGCGGCACTCAATAAAGATTCATCGAATTATTGAAAAGCAAAAGAGACACAAATTACAAAGCCGTAGGTTATTGCAGTTGGTGCTTACTGCTTACGTACATTGGTCAATATTAAATGGAAATTTTAATATTATAATTATAAGTCATATTATTACTTCACTTTGTATAATTTTAGATCTTGGGTTGAAATAGCAAATCCATGTTAAAATATTTTTTTAAACGTACTAGCTAAAAAACCCGGCTTCGCCCGGGAGTAGATATGAGATGACGTGGTAGAGTCGAAATAAAAAAATAAACTATGACGTAAAAAGAAAAAAAGTTATTGAAAACGTTTTCTCATTATTTACAATACTTGTTTATAAACAACATTTTTCATTTTATTGTCCGGAGTATATATACATAAATTTTTCGGATTTCCTACTCTTGAGCAAGCTACATATAGCTGACCGTGAGAGAAGCAGGATTCTTTGAGGTTAATGCCACAATATTTTAAAGTTTGTCCTTGCGCTTTGTTAATTGTAAAACTAAAGGCTAATTTTATTGGAAACTGCAGTCTTTTAAATTGAAATGGCAATTCCGAAGAGATCAGAGGTATTCTAGGATAAATACTGTCTGTCCTTTGGTCTTTCCAGAAATAAGTTCAGCTTCAATGATATTATTCGATAGGTGTTTACGATCATTCTAGTTCCATTACATAATTTTGGGGAGTTGAGATTTCTGAGTAGTATGATTGGAGTTCCAATTTTCAGACGAAGGCAGTGTAATGGCATTCCTGGTACTTGTAAAGAGTTAAGAAATTCAGTGGGGAAGTTGACACTTTCTTCAATGGATACCATCGTGTCGATCGATTATATAATATTTTCTCTTCACCAGGTATTTTCTTTAGAATATTAAAATTGATATCGTCAACAATATTATTTTTAGTGGCCAAAATTGCTCTTTGAAATAACCACTTTTTTTAATGTTTTGAGAACTAATTTGGAAACTAAAATTATGTCGCTTTAACTCCAAAATATAAGTTAGCTAATGACGTATAAATACACAAAATTTAATAACTTTATTATAGCAACAAATTAAATGTAAGACTATTGAAATTGGAATTTTAAATTTCGTGTCACTACTACACATGCTACAATTGCTCGCAACGCTTTTGGAAATGCAACCCAAAAATCGTTGTCCTGAATGAAGTTCAAATATTCGATAAAGATGGCGCCACTATACTTAATTTCCAAGTTGTAGGGTTGGAAAGTTCCTTATATCTTTAGAAACACGCCCTTTAGATTAAAACGGGAACTTCTAGCTTCTGTAGCGGTAGCGTATGTAGTAAAGGCGCGAAATTTAAAAACCTAAATTTTTAAATATTTTGAGAACTAATTTGGATAACAAAATTATGTCGCTTTAACTCCAATATACGAAATAATGACGTATAAATACACAAAATTTAACAACTTTATTATAGTAACAAATGAAATTTAAGATTTATTGAAATTGAATTTTAAATTTCGCGCCACTACTACACATGCTGCATGGCTCACAACTATGGAGATATATGACTATTGGAGTGTATAGTCTCCATAGTTGTCTTGAACGAAGTTCAAATATTCATAAAGATGTCACTGCACTTAATTTCCAAGTTGAAGGGTCGGAAGTCCCTTATATCTTTAATGCCCTTTAGATAAAACGGGATTTCTTGTTCGAGGGGGAGGGTATCACACCACATAAGTCCCTTTATCGTGTCGGGACCCTTTTAGTTTTATCGGACGACATTTTATCGACTTGTTTTATTATATATATAGATAATCTATTATGTAAAAACTTTTTTTACATAGTCACATAACTAAGTCAACATTTATTCATAGGAATTCAAGGACAACTTAAAACTTTATTTTTTTTTTAAATTCGGTTAATAAATGGCTCTCAGTATTAGCGATTCTTAATTATGTATTTAAGTGTTTATCCTTCATTTCAGAGAAGTCGTTTAGATAACTATCTGCAGCTGAATTTCATCATCGGACGTCGAGGCAGAATACGAAATTCCACACACGACTCGACGACCGTCGTTACATAACTAAACATTTTTTTATGGCACCCCGCACCAGCGGCCCATTGAAGTATTTACGAACCAATTTAACATACAGTCCTTCAAGAATGGAGCGTTCCAATACTTAAAAGGGTCAGGTAAATTTCTTAAAACACACTTGCGAGCCTTCTGGCAGTGTGAGTGACCACAGGCAGCGGGGCGGTATAATGAGGCAGGCGGACATGAAGTTTTTTTTCTATAAAAAACCCTATAACATGCTAGTTATAATAAAAATAAATACAATAATCAATAACATAATAGAAATTTAATAAGTAGAGAAAACATTAGGCTAGAGTTACTAGATTCTTCAGATAGGGATAGCTGTTTATCAGTTAAGTAAATGTAAATCATATTGCATATTTATAGTGAATATATTTTATGCAGAAATTGTGTTAAAAACTTCATGGGTTTAACATCACTTTGTACTGTTTCAATGCATCAAAATTTTTTAAATTTTCCTGTATTTGTATTTGTATGTTGGCACACTCCACTATAAAGTTAAGTGCATTTTGAAACATGATTTTTGCTTTATGAAGATTCTGAGGCACTAATACACCAAACCAGTGCATTGGATTTACAGTATTTGTATCATTTTCAACAATTTTAAGTTTCGTCTCACCGTCTTCTTCTATAGTCTCACACCTTGTTAAAGCTGAGAATTCTGAGCTAGCCTCTGTGGGTAGTCTTTCTTTACTAACTGCCGTCTGGCCCATAATGTATCGCGACTTAGCTAAATTGAAGCAACCATTGTTTATGTTAGATTCTATGTTTAATTCTCGGCACATTTTTTCTTCCATTAAATGCAACTGCCTTAAAGTGAGCCGGTCCAGTAGATCGTTCACAGTTTCCTCACTGCAGATCTTATCTGAAAGCAGATTATTTTATACCTAATGCTGCTAAAAAAAATTATAAAATTCTACGACATTTTTTACTTACCTAAAGGCATGGCCAGGATTCTTGAATTACTGGTTTTATTACTTTTATTTAAATAATGGCCTATTTTCGATTATGGATTATTTTTACTAGTTCGTGTTTTTAGTTTAAAAAAATATCAGCTGATCTGTCTCTGTGATCTACTTGCTAAATGCAAGAGTAATAGAGTATACTAAAACACACAGATAACTTATTAGAACTATGAATTTGATGATACTGATTATGTAGGTGTCTCGGGGCACCTTGATTGGAACCCCTCCAAGTGTATTTTATTGAAATTCGATAAATGAAACGTACATTTTATACTTTTCTCTTAATTATTATAATATTTCAAGCAGCGTGTATTGCAAAACATTACAAATAGCATTTAGCAAGAACTAGACCACCACAGATACTAATAAATAATATGTTATCTATATTATGCTAGCTAATTGTAATGAGTATTGAGTATTGACTATGCTATTTTGGAAATTGGCATGGAAGTGGCAGCCATTTTAAAATTATTCATCGCCATTGATAAAAATAGGTCATTGCGTTGAAGCGCTACGATTTTAAGCGTTAAATATATATCTTGGTATTTTTAGAAAATTAAAAATAAAAAGCCATGTCGGACGGAAAGAAGTTGGAAGAACTTCGAGTTATAGATTTACGTGCAGAATTGGAAAAACGTAACCTAGATAAAAGCGGCATACGCAGCGTGCTTGTTCAGCGATTGTCGAAGGTATTAATTATTATAGGGAATAAAAATAAATTAGCATGTAGATATGTATTAGCTTAAATATTGCAAACATTATTGTAACATGATTTTTCAGCATTTAGAAGAAGAAGGACTCGACCCCGCAACCTACAAGTTCGATTTGGGTGGCAAGACTCCATCAAAAAGGACTCGACGAACAGAAAGTTCCTTGAATGAATCAACAGAAACTGAGGAATCTGTCATGGAATCTATAGACCAGGACACTGCGAACGATGAAGAAAAAGTACAGCTAGAGGGTCAAGAAAAAGTGGAGAGTATGGAAGTTGTGAACTCTGAAACACCAAGTAGAAAACGGGAAAGCAAAGATGAGCCTGAAGCCACAGAAGCAAAGAAACCGTGTCTTGACAAAGATGATAAACAACAGGAAGATGATCACAAATGTGAAAACAACACAGATGCTGAAGACAGTATTAACTTAGACCTTGGAGAAGATGAACTTCTTAATGAAGAGGTATGTTTCTATGTCTTCAAAGTAAATGCTGCTCTCCCATCCCACAAAACTGTAATATCAACTGGATATATGATGGAAGTAGACTAGCTATCTTATAAGGACTACCATTTTAAATAAAGTTACAATGTAACATGTCTATTTTTTTAATAGTCAGATAATTTAACAGTTTGAATTAACCTAAAACTAATAGTGTCTTTATGATTTTAATAAAATATTTTTTATTTCAGACTGATAACACATCTAAAAACAACAAAGGTAAGTTTAGTTATTGCCTAACATCATTGGACCATAATAACAATTACTTGTATTTGATGAAAATATTTATATTTGTCTTGTTATAACTGACTAACTTGATTCTTATAAAAATATTAATAATAGTGTTGATAATACCTATATCCTGTCATCAATTTTTTTAAATTATTATGTTGACTTCTTAATTTAGCATTTCTGAAACATAATTGCTGTACTGAACTAAAAATGTACAATACTTATATTGCAAGGTCATTATTATATCTATTTCCACACTTGGTGATGGTGGAATTTAATATATATACAATATATTGTATACATAATTTTATGTTTAAACATGATATTTGTGATATTATACTATTACACCGTGAAGTGTTGTCGTATATGGAGTAAAAGAAGAGAACAACTGATGTAACACTTTCAGTACTGTCAAAGTAACATATTGGATGTCGCAGAGATAATTTTGGTACCAGAGAAAGAAGATCAATAAAGAAATCCACTTTTACCACAGATAATAAAGTGAAAAGTACACATGCCATATTGTCATGCAGGCTCTTTTTCCTTACAAGAAGTACATTCCTTCGGGTGTCCATCATTAATATCCACTAGCTCTGTCAGCAGATCAGGCCATATTGCTCCATTTGTCAAAGACAATGGTGTTAATGTCAAATCGAGTTTTCAGGTGAAAAATAAGGTGTTAAAAGTGTATTGGTGAACAAGTATTCCTGCATTTCTCAATATGGGAAATACAAGAAGAAATACAGGGCTGGGTCCTTGTTCTGAGGGACCTGCACTCATCTCAATATTAATGACGTAGATGAGGCGGCTGTGGAGGACAACACTGCAGCGGCGCCAGACACCGAGGCGACGCCTAATGAAGATGCAGCCGCCGACACTGCAGCTACAACTGAAAATCAGCAAGTAACCTCCGATGCAGCTGCCACTAGGTTGGTGAATGCCGACAGATCGTCGCGACGAAGTTCTTGCGCACCTTTATACTTCGATACTTATATTATTGTATTCACTACAAAGTTTTGCACCACAAAAAGAAGATTGTTCCTGTTCATCGTGTGAATCCTTCGACTGACTCGGAGCTTCAAGATTTTCATCATGAGAAGATTTATATTGGATGTTATGGAAATGTAGGCATCAGAAAGTGGTCATCGAGCATCATGTGTCAATCTGCGTTCATCAGGCAACTTTACTGCATCAATATCGTCGTCATAATCAAGACTCATCCCACGGTGGAGTAATGGTGCAAAACTTTGTAGATGACAGTGTGATTGTAAAAGAATGCTTTAAACATATACTATTTTTTTTGATTAAACAAATTGTAATTAATGTCTACAATTTAAGTTTTGTTTAAAATAACAATTAATCTTTTATTTTTCTTTCAGTAATAATGATGAAGATAATAAAGAAATTGATACAAAAGGTAAGGAAATGTGCACTATTTTATGTTGAATTATAGATAATCTATCTCTCCATATTCTTAATAGCAGTAAAAGCCTGCTTATAAATTTTATATTTTAATTTACATTTTATTTCAAGATGAGAAAGACAAAGATATTGAAGCTGAAAAGAAAGATAAAAAGGAGGAACAAAAGGAAGGTGGAGCTAGAAATTTGTGGGTTAGTGGTCTATCAGGAGACACTCGAGCTAAGGACTTGAAACAACTATGCAGCAAACATGGAAAGGTAACGATAGAGTAAAATAATTTTAAATAACCATTATTTTATAAAAAAAACCGTACTTAAAACTATTTATTTTAATACGTCATTATGCAATACTAATCGGTCAAGTAATGTTTTCCTGTCTAATCCTAATATTGTTTTGTAGTTTGGAGACTGGTTTTGATCGAAATATCCAGTACATATATGTATTTGACCTAAAATTGGCGTTAAAATGGTCGCGAGTATTAAATAATTTTTAAAAAATGTTCCGGTTTTATGCTCTAAGTTAAAAAATATGAAATCTGCTAAGTTTAATCTGATTTAAAGTTACTTAATAACCTAAATTGATGGTCAAATATTGATTAAATTTCACATTATGTATTAAGTCAGGTTATTCAGTTATGTTTTTTTTTTTAATCTAGCACTGCACGCCATTTGTAACTTTAGAATGATATTTGAAACTTATCATATAGCCTAGGTTAGTACAGGGTTATGTAAATTTAGAATGTAAAAAAATTTCAGTAACTAAATCCCTAGTTGCTTAAAAATTTTACTTTCTGTTTCTTTGACCAATTTCTAATAGACTTATTTTTAGATCAAGATTGATTTGTTTGTTTAAACATAGCCCCAATAAGTGCTGGATTTACATTTCACAATCCAACCTTGTCACACAAAATAAAAGTAGGAACTGAAACTGCATAGTTCAACAATTTATTCATACATTTGTTATCTGAAAACTTTCTTAAGGTTTTGAGCATTACCGTTTAGCATAAAATAAGGCTGCAGTCCAAAGTTATGTAATAAATGTGTCATATTTTAAACTGATTACAGGTAATTGGAGCAAAAGTTGTTACTAATGCTCGTACACCGGGTTCTCGTTGCTATGGATATGTCACTATGGCCAGCCCGCAGGATGCTGAAAGTTGTATTAAAAATCTACACAGGACAGGTAATTTCATAAACCTATATATGTTGAAGTAAATGTTATAGGCCATTTTATGAAATGGTTGACTCTCATGAAGTGATAAATTCTATGATCTTCCCACTAACTTATGAACAATGGAATTTCTTAGTGTGTTTTAAATACATTGAAAATGTAAATAATATTATCATCATAGAAATATAAATATTAACATAATGTCAGTAATTGCAACTATGAATGTTAGTGGCATCAGGCAAGTTTGTGAATAACTCATTTGTGGTGTTACCTAATATCTGCATTATTTGTCATTAAATCAGACCATGACAACTAGCAGTTATTAAGTTGATACATGTAATTTTTTTTCAGAATTACATGGTCGCATGATATCTGTGGAGAAAGCGAAATCTGAATCAGAGTCTGCGTCTCGGCGACAAGCGGCCATTCCTCGCGCACCAGAAAGGCGACCCAGCAAGGACTTGAAAGAGGAAGCAAAGGATACTGAGGTAGGCACATATTCTTATGGAGTAAAAATCTAAATATTAATCTAAGAAAGTCTACCTCTCCTGAAAACTTCAGTTCACTAAATAGCCAAAACAGCTTACAGTTTTTAATTTTCTATCAAACATCAACTTTGTAGAGGATAAAATGGTTTGACATTACTTGATACTGGATTTTATTTTATTATCACAGAATTTTAGTTGACAACAGACATAAAGATGCTTCGATACTAATATCATACAAATACAGTAAAGTTTATCTATGGAACTAGGACAAAAAATTATATTCATTGAATTAAAAAAAATAAGAGGAACTTTAATATATGTTTAGTGCAGTTTATAGTTTATAGGTTTAATATTATTTAGTGAATTAGTAATAATCACGTAAATAAATCGTTGACTTTACGACTTAGACAAAGTAATTACAATCTACGGGCTAGTCAAAATAATAACAAATATTGTAA